CCCCCCCCCCCCCCCCCCCAAGGGGGTGAGGGGGAAGGCCCGCCTCGCTGGTCTCGGCCATAGATTCCGGTCTCGGGAAGAGTCGGCCAGCGGTGGGTGGCCGAACTGACGGATGCCCAGCTGAGCTACTTTGCTCTCCCGCAGTTCGAGGAGGAGACGGTTGGCATCTGCCTGAAGCTGCTGGACAGCAACTTGCAGTGCCAGCACCATCCGGTGCAGGACTGTGCCCTGCGCAGCAGCCCGGTCTACGTCAGCCGGGTGCTGAGCGCCATGGTAAGAGCCGGGCTGGGGGCACCGCGGCCCCTGATGGTTTGGGACCGCCGGGGAGCCAACTGGGAAGGGTTCCCTCTCCTTGGGGGGTGCAGGCTCCTCCCTCCCTCCTTCCCTCCCCCCCCCAGGTCAACAGCAACGACGACGCTGGGGTTCTCCTGGGGAACTGGAGCGAGGATTATTCCGGGGGGACTCGCCCCAGCGAGTGGAATAGCAGCATCGCCATTCTGAGGCAGTGGGAACGCTCCGGAGGACAGCCGGTCAAGTACGGCCAGTGCTGGGTCTTCGCAGCTGTGATGTGCACAGGTAGAGCTGGGCGCAGCGGCACCTGCTGGGGAACCCACCTGCCCGCACACCTCACCTGCCCACCCAGGCCGTCAGTGGTGGCTTGCTGGGGCCCACCGATCCCCTAACCCATTTCTTCAGGCCTTTGGACACATCGCAGGAGGAGGATCTCCTCCTCCCCTTTGCCACTTCCCGCTGAAACTCCTCCAATGCTGCGACACGGGCCGGTCAGGCCAGCCGGAAGCCCTTTAGGACTCTTGAGGGCTGCGAGCGAGAACAGTTAATCTGCAGAAGTTCCTCCGAAAGGCAGCAGTAAATCTGGGTCAGCTTTCCAAAGGCCTACTGTCTTTTCTTGGGCCGAGACAGCTCCCTCGCGCAAGATAGGCCGAGGCCCAGAGACGCGCAGGCCAGGCGGGCTCGCCCCATACGCTACCCCATAACTGTAGCACGTGCTTTGCCCCGAACAGAAGCAGTCAGAGGGCTCACGTGATGGTGCTCCTGTTAAATTAAGGCAACGGCAGTCCCATCTCAGCCTGATCTAGAAGGCCTAATCAGGTCAACCTAAGTCCTAGCAGTCAGTCACGCCACACGCTAATCGTGGCTAGTCTGAACCTTGCTTCTTTTCGCTCAGTGTGTTGTGTGTCCCAAGCCCATTGGATTTCCTTAAGACTGTGTGAACCCAGAAGACTCCGGATTCAGATTTTGTGAACCCATTCACTTAGGAACCACTGACCCCAACCCAACCCCTGCAGCCCCTGGCGAGGGTTGGAAAGCGTTCCAGGTTAATTCGGCGGGGCGGGGGGGAGGAATTGCTGGGGAGATAGCACCACCAGCACGCACTCTGGGCTGGGAGAACAGAGGCTGGACAGTGCATTTAGTTATTCTCTCTCCCCCGCCCAGTGATGCGCGGCCTTGGGATCCCAACCCGTGTGGTGACAAACTTTGACTCAGGACACGAGAAGGATGGGAACCTGGTGATCGACATCTTCTACGACAACACCGGGCAGCTGCTGCCCCGGGAGAGCAAGGACAGCATCTGGTGAGACGAAGCCGCTCCTTCTCCATGTGGCTGTTGGAGGGCCCGGAGAAACTCCTCTGTGTGGAGGGGCTATCTTGTGTGGGGCTTAAAACCCACCCAGGAAGCTGCGGCAGAGGCACCGGAGAGGACCGCGGGGAGGAGGAGTCCTCCCTCCTCTCTTCCAACCCTGCTGGGAGCCAGCACAGTCTTCCAGAGAGCAGAGTGGCGGCAGGCTCAGAAGAGACGTCCTTGCAGAGTGGAAACTGGCAGCCTTAAAGAAAGAGAGTAGATAAATGGTTAGAAAGGGGGAAGGGCAGCTATGAGAATCCGTGCAGATGGCTTTACCTCCCCTGCAGTATCCGAAGGACTCCTGTGTGCCGTGCCCAGATCCACAAGATTGCTAGAACTCACGGGCTTCCTGGAAACTGCCAGCTGGCCATGATGGGAGAGCAAGCGTGGACTACAGGGGCCATGGCCTGGCCTAGCACCTGAGCTCCCTCCTGGTAGCCCCCCACAAAGAGCTGGGAGTTCCCAATTTAATTGAGGATATTGATATTTTTATTGTTTTTATTGTCCTGGATTTTAATTGTAAGCCACCCAGAGTCACCCTCTAGGGGAGATGGGTGGCATATAAATATAATAATAAATAAAATAAATAAAGAGCCATTCCGCGTAAGGGCTCAGAAGAAGCTGCTTCTCCGTGTGCCTGAGGCCGAGCCCACAGAGCCCCATCCTGGCTGGCCGTGGCTTTCTCCTCACCTAAGGCCCAGCCTTTCCCGGTTCCCAACAGCTGGTTTTGGCTGGCTTGCTAGATAGTCTCCACCTGGGCTGGCCACGCACCTTCCATCCCGTACTTCTCTGGCGTTGCAAGAGGCCCATGAATGTTCTTCACCTGTTGAAAACGCTTTTGTGACAAATCACGATTCCCTCCATCTGTTTCCGTGGCAGGAACTTCCATGTCTGGAATGAGTGCTGGATGGCGCGTAGAGATCTCCCCCCTGGGTACGACGGCTGGCAGGTCTTAGATGCCACACCCCAGGAGTCCAGCAACGGTAACCAAGATGCGTCACTCTGTTCTTTGGGCCTGGCCTGGGCAGACTGGCGAGCGCCCTGCTCCTTCTGCAACGACCTCGAGGGATGGGGGAAGAGGTGCTGCCTAGGGAAGGAGCCCACAGCCGCAATAACGGGCAGAGAACGGAAGGGCCCGCCCTAATACATCAGGCGGTTAAAAGTGACAGCAGGCGATTTGTATTTTCAGGCTTGCAAGATTGATACCAACCCTCCTGGGTGAGCCAGACAGGAAGCACAAACAGATGAGCTAATTCTACTTTACTGTAAGGCTACATTAACAGAATCTTGCAAGTCTGGAGATACAAATCTCCCCCGCCTGAGACATTAGGGCAGATCCTTTCTCGGCCTCTCTCTTGCCTGTTACGCAGCTGGGGGCTCCTCCCTATATCTGATCTCTTCCCCTGTCCCTCACGCCATTGCCCCCTCCTCCCTCTCCTCTTCGGCAGGGCTGTACCGCTGTGGCCCAGCGCCCGTCAGAGCGATCCGGGAGGGCGATATCCACCTGCGCTACGATACTCCCTTTGTATTCTCAATGGTGAACGCTGACCGAGTGGTTTGGCTGCTCTCTGGGACGAAAAGAGAAAAACTCCAGTGGAATCCAAGCGCTGTGGGGAACCACATCAGCACCAAAAGCATCGGAAGTGATGCGCGAGAAGACATCACCCACACTTATAAGCACCAGGAAGGTACCGGCTGCCCCCTCCAGATGTGCCCAACCCCTCCTGAGGCCTTAACACCTGGTTCTCGCCCCAGGCCCTGGGCCAGAGCGGGCGGCACTTGGGTACTGTCTATTTTTCTCAGACCTTTGGTTTTTGCGTAGTTTGCGTGACTTCTTTTAAATCGTTTCAGGGTTAATTTATAGGCTGCCCAGGATCACGATGGAGTTGGGCAGCCTATAAATAAAACGAATATATAGCTACCAGCCACCCTGAAGCGTAACCAGGTGACTCAACAGGGCTTCCCGGAGCCATTGGAAGGGCCAGCCTAGTCAGAGTTTCTCCTGGCTGATGGCTGGGAATCCCCCTGCCTAATTACGGTTCCTCTAAAGTATAACATGGCTTTCCTTACTTTACAATGACAGCAAAGCCAGTAACGGACCCCACCAGTGCCGTGCCCCCCCCCCCCATACACTGAAGCAGCAGGGCAGAACTGGAACAAGCTGCTGCTGAGCAGGCCGTTGTAACTTGCCAGCACTCGTGTAGCAAACCACGCGATTAATTCCTGGCACTGGAGTCTGACTGGAGCCATGCCGGAATACAGCAGGAGACGGACCCTGTCCGTCACGACCGGGCTTCAGGGTGACCGTGGGCACGGAGGCAGCCGTCTTGGAAGGCCCTTGGTCGGTCTTTGGAGGCGTCTCCTCCTCTCCCTTGGGGGCTCCAGTGCCCTCCAGCTGAGCCAGAGACTGCCAGCCCCAGCCCTTGCCCCAACTCACTGCACCTCTTTTCCCCACACAGGCTCCCTGGGCGAGCGCCAAGTGTTCTTGAAGGCCCTCGCTCACAGCCAGCCCTTCAGCCCCATAAGGCCCGGCCCAGACGCCCTTCCAGCCACACCCGACCCCCTGCCAAGGGTGCCTGCTCTCCATGACGACCGTGCCCAGGATCCCCCGGCAGGGGCCCAAACCTCTCTCCACCTGCAGCTGGCGGAGAGTCCGGAGGTCGGCCAGGACATCTACCTCACCCTCCTGGCCCGCAACCTGGAGTTTGCCTCCAAGGCCCTTAAGCTGAGCCTGAGCGCCCAGCCAGTGCTGCACAACGGGCACCCCTTGCCTCCTTTCTGGCAGGACACCATGTACCTGTCCTTCAGCCCCAAGGAAGGTAAGGCACAGCGAGGAAGCGGGGAGGGCGGTCTGCGGTCTGAGCTGCCCGCTGCTGCATCCGCTGGATGGCTTCATTTGCAGAAAAACGCATCCCTTGGCTGATCTCCTACGGACAGTACGGCAGGCACCTCCAGGAGGACAAGCAGATCCGGGTAGTCGCCATGGGGGAGGAAAACACCTCCTGGGAGAAGGCCCTGGCCGAGAAGACCATCACAGTGGCCAGCCCCCCGCTCGGCATTCATGTAGGCGACTTCCCTACTACGGCCTGGTTCCCCGCCCCACCCCGCCCCACCCAACCCCCGCTCCAATTACAGCACGTGGCGGCGTGGAAGTGAGGCTGGGTGCGGGCACAGCCACACTGCTCCTGACTTTCTGACCCCCCCGCGGTGCAGGTGTTGACCCCTGTGGTGGTGAACCAGGCCTTCCGGCTTCGAGTGGAGTTTGCCAACCCTCTGGCCGAACCCGTCAGTGACGGCCTCCTGACTGTGGAAGGGGGCGGCCTGGTGAGAGGCCAAGCTCAGATAGAGTGAGTGGAGTGGGCTGGGTTGGGCTGAACCGGGCAGGGCTGCTGAGGCTGCAGCAGCTCTGCACGGGTAGGGGGCCTACCCCCTCTGGGCAAGAGCCACCAGGGCTCCTAGAACAGCCGGCCCTGCTACCCAAGGGACACTTTCTGGCAGGCCTGTTCTTCCCTTCCTGCAGCCTGTCTGCTCTGCTCTGCACAATACTGGTGGGGGTGTGCATATGTGCCCACAGCTTCTGACCCTGGGGACCAGCCATGCCTCCGGCTGGCTGAGGGCTCTGGACTTGCCTGGCCGCCTCCCCAGCCGCCGAGGGGAATGAGCCCCCACCCTCAGGTGCAGGTGAAGCTTTGCCTGGGAAGGTGGGGTGCAGCTGGAAGGAAACGGAGAGCCCCCGCATGAAGCCTCTCCCTGGGGGCCGGCAGGGAGAGAACAGACCACGTGGCTCCCTGCCAAGCCCACCCAAAGTCACCCAGAGCGGTCCTCTGAGGATACGTCGGACAGAAAGCGGGCCCTTTGCCCGAGGCTCCTTCCTCCTCCCGTCCCTGCCCATCCCTGGGGAGATCCACACGGGGTGTGGGGGAGTGCCCCAGAGGGACGCTCTGGCATTGGAGATCCACCCTTCCAGTCTTCCGGTGGGAGCAAACGCCTGGGCTGGGGCTTCGGGGGGCTTGCAGGGGGGAGGAGGCGTCCTCTGCAGGAGGTACGGAGGCCCTGCGCCAACCCGCCTTTGCCTCCCCCAGGTTGGGCTTCCTGGCTGCCCGGCAGCAGGCCAGCATCACACTCCAGCTGACTCCCTACAAAAGCGGGCCCAGGCAGCTGCACGTCAGCCTCAGGAGCAGCCTCTTCCCCCCCCTGAAAGGACACAAGCAGCTGCAGGTGGCCGGAGGGGGGCTGAGGGCCAGGCGGCAGCCATAGCGGCACCGGAGGACGAGGAGGAGCAGCTGCGACCCGTCTCGCCACCTCTCTCCCTCAACGCCCTTAATAAACTGACTGTTGCACCAGGCAGGGTCGTTCCTTGGTGTAGTGGCAGCAGCAGCTTCCGCAGGACCCCCCCTCAGAGTCCGTGTGAAATGGGGGAGGGCGGGGGGAGACTGAAGGTGGGCTTAGCAAAGCAAGGCCACGCCTCGGGCAGGGACTGCATTTGCCTCAGGTTTCACGCCCTGCCCAACTCAAAAGGCCCCGGGCAGGTTACGAGACATCTAGCAGCAGCAGCAGCAGGAATAAAATTATAAGTGAGGTGGGCCCCGATAAATGTAGCCCGAAGGCACCTCTCCCCCGGGGTAGGAGATGTCTGCTGACCCCGCCACAGGGCTCAAGGGTCCAGGAGCCAAGGCCCTCCCGTGCCCAGGGCTGCTGCCTTTGGAGCAGGCGGGCATGTGGCGCAGCGGACGGCTGAGTCCACACCTGGATCGCACTCCCCAGCTCCCCCGGCCACCGGGGGACAGACAGGCAAAGCCTTGACCAACTGGCAGTGGTGGCCCAGAGCCTCCGAGAACCCCGGGCTGAGACCAGGCCAACAGTAAGGACACACACGGCAATGCAGCTGTTGTGCGGCCTGGGGCACAGTGGGGAGAGGAGAGACAGTAGAATCTGCCCCGGGGGAAAGGTGGAAACCGGGCCGAGGCGTTGAAACAGCAGGAGGCCTTGTGCTGTCCAATGAACGTGGGCTTCAGATGCAGGCTGATGGGGATCCCGGGAGGGACACAGCCTCGAAGTTGGGAATGACCAGGAGGACCCAAAGTTCCCCAGGGGGTCTTTGCTTGCGCTTTTCTGCACCGTCCCGGGGAACAGGCCAGCAGGGAGCCACACCGTGTCCCCTGGGCCGGAGCCACAGCTGACCATCCCGGCCACCGGGCCTCTGTTCACCTACTCATGAAGAAGGCAGACATAGAGAACGGGGGGGGGGGGCAGGAGACGGGCAGAAAGCTGGAGGTCTGGGGCCCCTGGCTCCCGACACGCGCCCCCGCCCACCCTCATCGCTGCCGCAAGCACACGCCACTCAAGTCGCCGCATCCGCATTCCGTCAAAGTCTCTCTGGAACCGGACCGTGAACACGTGCTCGTGCGATCAAAACAACAACGCTGCAAGACGTTACAAGCTTCCTCCGCTGAGCCCCGCGGTCCTTTACTGCCTGCAGCCGGGATAAAAGAGCTACGGCTGCTCCTTGGCCCAGGCGCCTCCCAATCCTGCACCCCCATGCCAATCCTCCCCTGCTGGGCCTGGGTCTCCAAGCAGGTCTTGCGTGAAGGCCCTGATCTTGCCCATGTTGTGATCCACTGCTCCAGCCAGGAACTGCACCCAGTTCTCTTCAGAGGGAGGGCAGATGTGGCTCGTCCTGCGGGAGACAGCAGCCTGGCAGGGAGGGACTCGGCCCCTCCTCCCAGCCCCAGCCCCAGCCTGCAGCATAGGATCCCTTGTCCAGGATGAAAAGGCAGGGCAGCTGCCTGCCAGCCCGGCCCAAAGGCAAGCAGCTCAGTGAGACACTCCCCGCAGGCCAAGGGCAGGCCCAGAACCAGTTATCTCACCTGGTGATTTCCAGCATCTTCATTAACACCGAAGCCAGTTTCCCAGCCTAAATGAGGGAGCAGCAAATGAGCAAGGGGGCTGTTGCCCGGAGATTGCAAAGGCCACCCGCTCAGGAACTCTCCCCTACACGGGGAAGGGCACCTCGCCAAGGGTATCTGGGAGCCACTGGGATGCCCATCTGACTTACAACCTGCCTCTAGGGATCCCCGCTTTCTCCCCGACAAGTCCAGGCCTGCTGGGGGCAAAGCATAACTCTCCCCACCCAAAGGGGAGGCGTTGAGGTGCCTCTCCTCCGCTTGTTCCTGGAGCAGAGAAGTTCACACCCCAAAGGCAGGGCCTTTCTCTCAGGATGGCGGGACTCCCTTGTTCCATTTCACCTGCCTCAAAGCAGGCTGCGGCAACAGTCCCTGCCGAGACTGAGCCTGGGGAACAGGGAGGACTTTGTCCCAGAAGGGTGCTGAGACGGAGGAATCACTCCAGGTCTCTAGCAGAAGGGCGGTCAGGAAGCTCCCGAATTCCCTTCTTGGCCAGCTTACGTTCAGCCGCAGAGTGAGCTGGTTCACAGGCGGACAGAGGCTCAGCACCAATTCATCCACGCTAAAATGTAGAAAACAAAGACAGCGCAGGGTCAGCAGAAACACAATGAGCAAAACGATCGCAAGTCTCAGGCACGTTCGGTCTTGCAGGAGCGATTGTTAGGACCGGAAGCAGCAACTGCCTCGTTGCCCCTTCAGGGAACCCCTCAGAGGTAGGAGAAGCCCCTCCTCACAACACAGATCCCTTTCCCACTGGGGATGCTAACGCTCCCTTCTCTGCTCTAGTTTCTGAGGCCGCAAGAGACTCTCTCACCTGGGGCTGAGCTCAGCCACAGCGTCCGCCAGGGCGTCCAGCTGACCCACTTGCTCATTTGTGTCTGCTTTGCCGTGAGTTCTCACAGCCCCCAGCACTTTCCTCAAGCCAGCTTTGGTGGCCTTCACCAGCCCCTTGCAGGGGCCCAGCAGCTGCCACTCAGCGTCCGACCAAGAAAGGTCCCTGTTTCCTGGGAAGCCCAGCTCTTCAACCTCCAGCAGGTCACCGGGAGAACTTCCTCCCTCAGCCTGCATCTGAACACAAACACACCCACGTCACAAGTGTGTCAGTCTGAGGGAATGGCAGCATCTGGAGCCCCGGAAAGAACAAAAAAGTCAGATGGGAAGGGGAAGGGAGATGTGCCATCAAGGCTGGCTGGGGGAAGCCCTTGCAGAAGCATTAGTCACTAACCAGGTGGTGGGACTTTGAGCAAGAAGGGTGTGAAATGCCAGCGTGGCGCTCTCAGGGCTCAACAACCTCCGATGCTGGTGACTGGAGGGCATAACAAGGGTGCGTGGGTGTGGAATGGTAACCCCAGGGGTCCTGAAGAAATCAAAAGGGGCCAGCAGGAGACACCTCAGTGGCTAAGACCTGGACAGAATTCCAAGGCTTAGAGTGATCAGCCAGGCCAAGAGGAGAATGCAAATGCAGGCGGGAAGGGTGTGGGGTCTCGGGGATGCTATTCTTTTCTGCTGGAAAGAACCGCCTATGACAGGAGGGGGAACAGGACGCACTCCAAGAGCCAGCCGCAGCATCCAGGCAGTAGCAAGGACTAGATCTGGGTTCTTGCAGACCAGAGAACGTTCCATTCTACGTACGGCCTTTCCAATTTACCAAGCTGAGAGAAGGGACCGGCTCTGCTCAGTGGCAAAAGAGCTAAGCATCATCTTTGGATGCCAGAAGGGCAGCTCGTGATAAATCAAAGGCCCAATGCAACATCTAAATTCTTTTCAGCGGTGCTGAAGTTCTAGAAACTAATAGCACATCTGGAATTTTAAAAACAGGCAATAGGCCCACTCGCAAAATGTCTGGCAAAGACGGCAGGGCCAGTTACCCACCCATTTACCATAAAGCCATCTGAGTCCTCCCCCTCCCCCACCCCTCTCCTTTAGGAACCCCTCTGAACCTCCCTTACCCTCAGCTGGCCTGGGCTGCATCACCTGCCACCACTACTGTCTAGGAAAGCCAGTGCAATTTTTGTAAAATACAGGTGTTGCTCAAGGTTGGTTCTTTGCCGTGTGCCAGCTTCCCATTTTCTTTAAATTAAAAGACTTTGGGTCCAGGAGCCTAGCAGGTGGCCCACTGCCTGTTCCAGACCCAGAGGGGGTCAAAATGCACAGTGGCCCTCCCCCTCTTGCCAACGGAGAAGACCTTAGGTTTACTTTGCTTTTCCAAGCAGAGACTCTGGCAGATGGTGAACCTGGGCAGCCCAAAGCAGCTCTCCTCAATCCCCACCTGCTCCATCTCCTCCAGCGCGTCCCTGATAAGTTCCAGGCAGGAAGAAATGGCCAACGTGACCGCCAGCTGGTTGTCTGTGCAGAGAACACAGGGCGGGGCAAGGGGAAGCGCTCTGTGGGTGGCAGCAAGAGCTGCCTCAACAAGACCCTCCTTGCCCTACGCCCATTTCTGGCCAGACCACAGGCTGCTCACACACAGCCGCTGCCGCCACCTTCTGTCCCTGGCATCTCTCCTGCTGCTCACCATGTGGCAGGCAGGAAACTCGGTCACAGGCCTCCCAAACGCCTCCGGTTGAGATAAGCTGCTCCTGAGACAGACTGCCAGAGAGACAAGTCAGTGACCTGCCACCAATGTGCAACTGGAGGGTTAGGGTTAGGGGCCAGGAGAACGCAGCTGTGCTCAGCCGAGGATACCCACCCAGCGCTGAAGGGCCATCAGCTCAGCCTCCTTGGGCGTCTTCTGGGGAGGGAAAGCAAAGGGGTGACCATGACAGGGCAAGACTCACCTTTCCTGGGGAGTCCGAAGGATAACCTCTACGACCCGAATCATCCCCTCCACCACCTGGATTGTGGCGCAGCGGACAGCGTTGTTCAGGGTCTTCCCTGGGAAAGGCAAAGGGAGCACTGCAGCGTTTAACTTGTAAACTGCATCAAGATTCCTTTTAACAAGAAGCAGCTTTAATAAATCAGCAGCCCCCTTCCCTCCAGGCATCGCCAAGCAGCTCCAGGCTCCCGTCAAAAGCTGAGCACCTCTCCCCCGCATGAGAGAAGAAAGCCAACTGATAGAGTTGACGGCCCAAAGGGATGAGCCCAGAGAGCCCTCTTTGTACCGCTGAAACAAGGAGCCCATCCTCCTCCTCCTCCTCCTCACCTTGGCTCTTTGGGAGCTGATAATATACTGAGGCAGCTCCGATGACAGCACTGCGCACCCTTTCGCTCAGCCTCTCGCATGCCTGAGAAGGAACCATCGACAAAGGTTAAGCAGCCGTCCCCAACAAGGTTCAAGGCCAAGTGTGGCACACTCTGAACGACAGCCAAGGTTATTCTGGCTCCCGCTTTCTTACATGAACAAGCAAGCTAATTTCTAAATGTTGGATTTACCTCTGTGACTGGGGGACAACCTCGGTCAAGACGGAGAACTTTCTCCAAGCCAGAGCCCAAGGCTAGCACAATGTCCCTCAGAGAGGGCCGGCCCCGGGTGGTAATTACAAGTAAGGATTCGGCCACGGGACTCCCCGCGCCCCCGTCGCAATACGTTGGGATCGTCCTCAGCTGCCTCCCGCAGAGCTCTCCGAGAGACGGCAACCCGCCTCTTGCACGCCTCGCAACGCCTCACGCAGGAGGAAGATCCACCCAAACGCCAGCCCAGTCGGACGTCCAGCTGGCCCCAGCGTCCAACGGGCCGCTGCAAGGCCACGTCGCGCCCAGTTTCATTCGGGAC